GGGAGCATGGTAAGGGAAAGCTTAGACTTAAAGCCCTGAACCCTTAAAGCCTAAATCAAGGTGCATTCGGCCTGTTAGGATCCTTCTGCTTGGCATCTATATCGCAATTCCTTCTTCTTTGGTATCCCTTAATAGGGAACATATTGGGATATATAGATTATGGCCCGTATCATAGTAGCCCTGTTATAGCTACTGTTATACTGTATGGGGGCAGTACCCTCGATATCCCCATAGTCCCTGCATCCTGGGCCGAGCCTATGCTTGATCCTGCAGGTGGCCGGTGTTGCGATCATGGCCCGCATCATTCACGATGATGTTCCTGGCGTCGTGCCTGGGTTGTCCATGGGAAGCTTTTTCGGTGGCTTAAGACCTTGACTTCCTGATGAGTTACTTTCTACTCTATCTCTGGCTTTGAGCTGATCGATTACGCTGCTGTCTCATCGGGCACTACCCGTAACTCGAGAACGATGCAGCTCGCTCCGTGTCTGTCTGTCTTCGTGCGTTCGCCTGTCGTTCTCACATCTTCATCTATGTTCGCCGAATCCGCTGGACCGACCTTTTGTCTCCACGCCGAGCTGAATGGCACCGTTTGATGTTAGGTACATATGGTTTTGGGGCCAGGGGGTGGCTTAGAGTTTGGGGTTTGGGCTTGGGGCGTTGGGTTTATTTTGTGTTGTTTCGGGCTGATGTGGACGACTATCACGTTTGCTGTTGCTGCCAGTATGCCGACCAATGACTTCTACACCTGAGTTCAAGCCCTAAATTCGAAACCGGAATAAGGAGACCGATGCCCCAGAGTTTAAGTCCTGTCTATATATATATATATATACACTTTACTACATCCCAACTTGGAGGCCAAGATGCTAAACCTCAACCTGAAGTTACTCCCTGCAGTTACAGTGGAGAACGAATACCAGAAGCCCAAAACACTCACAAGTCCGAAAACCCCAACAAACCCAACACTGGAACCCTCAACAACAACAAACTCTTAAACCCAAAACCCGGAACCCCAAAGCCTAACCCAGGCCCCTCCTTTCAAGGTGAGCGCGGTTGAAGCCACAGGGCTGCTACCAGCGGAGGGTGTCGCCTGGGGTCGTGTGGAGCCACCAGGACTGCAGGCCTCTGGGGTGCCAGGCGGGGGGTGGGGGGGTTCAGGTTTAGGGTTTGCGGTCAGATTTGGTCAGATTTGGGTTTTATGCTTTTTAGGTGTTGGGTGAGTTAGAGGTATAATGTTCGGCTTTAGGGGTTCAGGGTTTCGGGGCTCGCATCGTTGGTGCCTCGAGGGCACTTCCGACACAAACCTCGGTTCCGACGTATCGAGAGCCCCACACATGATACCTGCAGTCTCCCGAAGCCCCTCAACCTTAAGCACGAAATGCCTAAATCCCTCAATACCTAAACCCCTATAAACCCTCAATCCCGATACCTCCAGCCTAAGCTCTCTTCCTCCAGCCTGGAGGCCAGCCCTGTGACATCGAAGATCTTTGCTGGTCCCTACACAAAGAGGCCTGCGAACGAGGAGAGCGCTTCTATCTCGACCCCAAAACAGGCGGGTTGGTGGGGTCTGGGGCTAGGCTTTGGGGTTTAGGTTTTGCTAGTGAGGTTTGGTGCTTAAGGTGTATAGTGGGATGTCCCAACTAGGAGGGGGGGTAGTGCATGTAATGCACGTGAAGGGTGAGTCAGAGTCTATGCTTTTAACAATGTAATTCCTGTAGCCTTCAGCATGCATGGTAACACCTGAGCCCAGACCCCCCTCCCCGGCCTAAACGGGCCCACCTTGAACCGAAAGACACCAGACCCTGTGAATATGTGAGAAGCATGTCTGAAAGGATGGTAGGTAGCTGAGTGAGACTTCATGCATATCTCAGGCTTAGATATCACACGGGTAGCCAGCCCCCGACTTGTTTGGATCTCCTTTCATTGCGTTGTCGGTCTTAGGGCTGCTTTGATTCCATGCATATTAGGGGTAGTTCTCTAAATTAGGGTCCCTTTCTCGGTCCCCAAAACAGTGCGGCACCCTTACAAATGGACCTTAACAGGGATCCTAATTTAGAGAACTCTCCACGTGGAGCAAAATGACCTTTTTGCATGGCTTCTTGCCTGCATGCAGCTACACATGCACAAAATCTGCTGGCATGCTTCTCTCCGAGCCCCTGCCTGCTGCACATGACACGGAATACTGCCTTGCCTGGCTAGGGTTTAGGGTTTAGGGGTTTAGGGTTTAGTTATAAGGACCACATCCCAGACTGGAATCGTGAGCTGTAGGCTTACGTAGTCGTAGCTGGGCCGGGAGCAGGCTACCAGGTCATGACGGAAGTGGCGCACAAAAAGCGTGGCAAGTGCTGCGGCTGCGGATGCCGACATTGCCCCTACAACCATGCCAACGTCCCTTCCACGGAACGCGCAGCCCGCATTCAGCAGCCAGCATGGCTGCACAAGACTTCCATTGAAGCTGAAGAAGTTGATATCCTGTTCTGGAGTGGGGGTAAGGACAGCTATCTTGCTCTTCGAACTCTTCTGAAAGAGAAAGGCGAGGGAAGGAGGGGCGTCGTGCTTATGACCACCTTCGACGCAAGAACGCGCATTATTGCCCACCAAGAAGTAGAGATCAAGACCGTGGTGCGCCAGGCGGAGACTCTAGGTGTGAGCCTGGTAGGAGCCCCCTTGCACCCCGGCCGAAAGTATGAAGAGCAGCTGGAGCAAGCACTTCGTGTGGCACAGAAGGGCCTCGTCGGGATTCCAATCACTCGGGTGTGCTTTGGAGATCTGCATTTAGAGCACATTCGGAGCTGGCGAGAGCAACAGCTCACTCCGGTGGTAAGGGAGGTTTGCGGCCAGTCAGCTCAGCTTCACTATCCTATCTGGCACAAGAGCTACGAGGCAGGGCATCAAAAGCCCAGCCCCAAAATATAACCCCGAGCTTTCAAGGCTGTGGCACATACTTGATAGCATACTCCTTTCCTCTGGTTCCCGAAACAACCCTTAGCCAAGATGCCCTAAATCCTAAGGTCTTTAAACCCCCTTAACCCTAAAACCCTAAGCCCTAAGCCCTAAAGCCACACCGTAAAGCAAAGACCCCGAAGCCAAACTCCACCCCCCCCTTCGCCCTGAGGATCTCATGGCCGACTTGGTTTCGAGCGGCGTGAAGCTGGGTTCTGTTTAAGGATTTGGTTTAAATTAGTAGGGTTCAGGGTTTAGGGTAAGATGTAGTAAGATAATTTTCATGGAAACCCTATAGTCTAAATTGTAGACCCCTAGTATGGTAGACTTAAGCTAAATTCCGCAACAAGAGCCCAGGAAGTGCCGGATCAGTGCCATGCCGGATGCTGCACCAAGCGAGGCTATTCGGCCTTTGGGATGTCGATTCGGCTCGTTTTTTGTTTTTCGGCTTTGGCGGTTTAGGCTTTGGGGTTTGAGGTTTTTACAGTTGCAGCAAATTTGGGCTACGTCCTCCATGCGAAAGCCCTGACTGTTAAAGTTCAGCAGTTGAAAGTCCTATGTTGGGTACCGCCCTCACTTTGTAACCGTTCGGTAATATTTTCATATTTGTCTAGAATATAGCCCGTATTTTGACCCACAATATAAACTGTTACATGCTGAGGCAGCACCCAAGGTCTATGCTATCTGTGCATCAGCTCGGTAGCGTGGACTGCCTTTCAGCGCGAACACTCACGTGACAGATGGTAGCTTGTTAGAGCCTCAGCTCTGCAATAGATCGATCAATATATCAGTATATATATATGTATACATACATACATACATACATACATACATACGTACATACATACATACATACGTATATATACATCTGCATGCATGTGTGTACGTACGTATGTGTGTATATATATATATGCACATGTATACATATATATATATACATGTGCAGATGGGGGACTACAACTAGATCCTCCCGAACGAGGGACAGGGATCACCTGATGGCGATTGAAGCGTTGCTTGTTGAGGAAGCAGGTTGTTTTGGGCTTATCAGTACAGTTGACAGCAGCTCAGACGAAGATCGACCGTTCCTGGCAGATGAGTGACTCTTTCACGGTTTCTTAGCTCCGACACAGTATTGAATAGTGCCGACGACACTAACCCAAGTCTGCACAGATGTCGCAATCGATTAATTGAGGGTTTAGAGGGGAGGAATTTGCCCCAGCACTTCCTTAGCCCCGACCGAGGTTCTTTGAGAAGCAGAGAGCTAGCCTCCACCAAGCCTGCGCTGGTTTCAACTTCCCACGGCCTCGGAAGCACACAGCGCATCCTCTCTCACTCTCTCGCTCTGTCTCTGTCGATGCCGGCACTCGAACTGCCGGCAGCTGCGAACCACCTGAAACGCACGACGGATCGCGAGGGTTTTCATGACTATACATATAGGGTCTCGAAATGGCAACAATCCTATAGCTAGCGGTGCGTACCAGAATGTTTATCTCTACCCTTTACAAGAACCTTGATGCGGAACAATTCGTGACATGTTTCTCTGATAGTCCCCTTACAATCGTAGTATAAATTATACCCCAAAACCCTCTTCTAATTATGAAAGCCCCTACATTCTTACACTCTATCCTTAAGTGACAATTCAGGTATATCATACCCCAACACCCTCTTCTAACAATTAAGACCCCTACATTATACTATATCCTTAAGCCCTAAACCCTAAACCCTACATTATACTCTGTCATTAAGTGTCCTGGCGTGCAGGTCAAGGGCCTATGCGTCGGTGCGCTCTTCGACCCAGCTCTTGCGAAGCAGGCCTAGCCCCTAAACCCGGAGCCCTAAAACAAGGAGCCCTAAACCCTGAGCCCGCAAAAAAAAGCCCTAAACCCTGAGCCCTAAACAAAACAAACCTAAACCCTACCAGGGGTAGGGTTGAGGGTTTTGGGATTAGGGTTTTGGGTCCTGAGCCCTACCAAGACCCCTTACCAGTGCCCTTTAGCAGAGCTCTGACGGCCCTTAAATAGGTATCTAGGGCATAATAGAAGGTAGTTGGGGCGTCTGGGTAAGCTCTAGCTTCCTAGGCGACGTCCATTGGCTGGGATGCCTTCGGCGAGAACGGGGAGTTCCATTCCGTGGTCGAGCCCTGGGCATAGGCTTAGACATCTGGAGGCTCCGGCGCTTGATCGCAATCGTGCTCCCAAAGGGTCCAAGTACCAACGTAGTAGGCTCTTAGTCAAATTGGAGCCCCCAAGGAAAATACTACACTGTAATCATCTACACGCATGGCATTGTATACACCGGACTTAATCCTGGTCATGGCCATTGTCGTTGATGATATCAGCTCAACGAGCATCTAGCGCAGCATAGGGTTTTCTATCGGTATTGCAGAGCTTCTATATGTCGGATCTATACTCCAAGAACTGTACCCTGGACCCTCAACTAAACAACCTGAACCCTCAACCAAACCAAGTATGATCTTTCTTCATCGTGCGTCGCTGGATCCTCCAGATCGCTTCTTCATTTTTGGAGCGCGAGTTCCAGCGACCGTGCTTTGTCATGGGATCCTGGAGCATCTGAGGAATCGCCAGAACTCAGAACTTGGTTTGAGGTTGCCTGGAACTGAAGGCTTAGGTCTTCCTACGGTTTAGTCATGCTTGGTCTGATTTGTGAGGGTGCTGATTTCAACTGGAGTTTGTGGGAGACATGGGTTTAGAATTGAGTGTCTGGTGAACGCTTCTGCGCTAGCTGTGATGCACCCCGGCTGCTCGACCTCGAAACAACACCTCCTCGTCTTCTGATCCGGCTTTCGGGTCGGGACCCTCACGAAGCTTTTATAGAGTCGGCCATGTGGCCTGCAATTGCAATTCACCGCGTCCCTAGATGAGGATATAAGCTCAGCTTGTAGCATCATGATTTCTCGGTGAGATTCGGTGATTCCTCGCATCCGCAAGATTTTCGACATTGAAGGGAGCCCGATGCGCGGTGTCTCGTGGGGCACGTGCTCCAGCTTTCGATGACCGCCAGCCAAAGAGGAGGCTCGGAAAGGTGATCGCATACGAAAAGCCTGCGACTCAACTTGGGTGCAAGGGGCAGAGATTTCGACAGTCAGAACTCGTTGCAATGCCTTGGCGAAGAATTGGCAGAGGTTGAGCAAAATCTGAGCCCGGCCTCGGTTTCCAAGGTATGTTGATGGAAGCAGGTTGCGCGCCGGTGAGCTGCCTCCATCGGAAGCTTCTTGCCCAGTTTATGTGCTGGCTTGGAACCCCAAGCACTTGAAGTTCAAGTCATTCGAGAACAGTGCGGGAGGCATCGAGGGCTGTTTGAGCAAGGGGCACTTGTAGGCTTCCTTTTTGGGTGGAATCCAACTTATGCAATACGCTGACCCCACGTATCGAGCTCTTGCCCCGACTGACCAACACTTACTTGGAAACAAGCAAGGACATCGCAACAAGGAGCCCTCGAAACGTAGGTTTGGGGGGCCTGGAAACATGCAAGGAAACGTAACGAAGTAAACGTGACAAGGAACGAAGTAAACGTGACAAGGAACCCTAGCCCTAAGCCCTTTAAACCCCAAGCCCCAAACCCTTTAAGCCCTATAAACCCTACACCCACTAAGCCCTAAACCCTTGAAGCCCTAAACCCACTAAGCCCTAAAGCCCTTTAAGCCCTAAACGGCCCTAAACCCTAAAGCCCTCTAAGCCCTAAACGGCCCTAAACCCCAAGCCCTTTAAGCCCTAAATCCTAAACTGTAAATTCACAGCTGTGAACCTCTACCTAAAGCCCTCTCCTAAAGCCCTAAAGCTCTAAAGCCCTAAAGCCCTAAAGCCCTAAACCCTAAAGCCCTAAAGCCCCAAAGCCCTAAAGCCCTGAACCCTAAAGCCCTAAAGCCCTAAACCCTGAAGGCGCTAAAGCCCTAAAGCCCTAAAGCCCTAAACCCTAAAGCCCTAGAGCCCTAAAGCCCTAAACCCTAAAGCCCTACACCCTAAAGCCCTAAAGCCCTAAAGCCCTGCCCAAGGTGGAGGCAGATCCGGCTCGGGCCAATGCAGCCAAAATGGCTTTTTCCGAGATGAGCAAGAAGCGGCTCATCTGATTGTGGGTGTTTAGGGTTCAAGGTTTAGGGTTAAGGCTTTCCATCTGATTGTGGGTGTTTAAAGTTTAGCATTGAAGGTTTAGGGTTTTAAAGCTTTCATCTGATTGTGGGTGTGGGGTTTAAGGTTCAGGGTTTGGGGTCGAAGGCCTAAGGTGCTATGTAAGTTAGAAATCAGGAAAGTCTTGCCATGATCTCATCGATGCTCTTGCATGTGTCAGCGCATCAACGCAAATGCATGTAAGTATCCACAGCGAGACGACGGTAAAAGAGACATGGGCTCGGACGTGCTAGCTTAGCTTAAGCATACCCTGAACCCCAAGCCTATGAGCTAAAACCCACATTCGGTTAGATCGTACCTTGGCTTTGCATCCGAGACTAGCCACGGAAACGATAGCAGCCACCTCGCCAAGTACCAATATAGTAGGTTCGTAGTAGGTATTAGAGCCCCTAAGTATATACTATACTGTTACTTGGACCCGTTGGGTGATAGAGATCATGCCCCTGGAGACAACGCCGAAAAGGGCTCGAATGCTGAGTATGATCTGATGAATGTAGATAGTGCTGCCGCTGCTGATGGTTATCGGGAGGACAAATTGGGGTGCGGATCATACGCTAGAGGGTGACAGTGCAAGTGAAAGTAGAGAACAGTGACACTGATTGGTCTGGTTTGAATGCTCCAGGTTGCTAGAAGTTTCATGATGGCTTTCTTGTACAGGACCACTTTCCAGGTGGTTTGGGGGCTTCCGCCTGCATGGACCACATGCTTGATTTCGCGTCCTCCAAGTTTGGCGTTCAACGGGGCCCAGATCGTCCTTATGAGGGTTTATAGGCTTTCAGCAGCTTTTCAATGTGAGCGCAACCAGCAGGATTCGGCCTGCTATCTCAGGCTATCTCGATAGCGAGTCATACCATTCCTCTCGGAGCTGTAACACCGAATATAGGGAGCTCAATAAAGGATTCGATGTCAGTCAGCTCTGTAGATGAGGCTCGGCGGCGAGCCTGACGTTGTGCAGGCCTGCATGCGCCCATGCCCGCCCGATGCTCTGCCTATCATGGGCAAGGTCCCATGGCACCTGTATGGCTTTATAGGGTTTTCAGGGAGGGGTCCCAGCCAGACTGCTCCTGATCTCTCGGGCCTCAGATCCAGAAGCTTGAGTCTGCTGTCGTGTTTCTTCGTGCTCTTGCTGCTGTCCTCACTGCTGTCTTCTTCTGCTGCTGCTGTTTTGTTTGGCGGTGCTGCTATTGCTATTGCTGCTGCTGCTTCTGCTGCTTCTCTTGACATATCAGGTGCCATACCACATCTTACCGCATTTGCTGGGCTGGTATTGGCATATTATTCAGATATGGCCGGTTATACCACTGCTCGCTGTACTCTCGTTTACGTGAATGTTAGTTCCGGCAACCCAAAAGCCCTAAACCCTAAACCCTACAGCAGTGCCGGAAAACCAGCAGTTTGCAAAAAGCCAGAAGCCTGACAGATTTAAGGATGGCTAAGTGGGGGGCGGGGGGGGGGGTCCAGGGACCCGAACACCCGACATGCTGTAGGTGTTTTAGTACTTAGACGAGGGGCTGTGGGGTATCTGATACGAATTTTTTTTGAGGAGACCCAAAAATAGTGTTCGTAATTGTTTAGGCCGTATAGTAGTAGGATCCCCCACAACCCCTCCAAGTTACTCCAGCCACCCACGTCGAGGTGCCTCATGTTCGTGGTGCTTACATCTCCGCCGGCCACAACTGCTGGGGCATACTTTGGGCACCTGCGGATTGGCTCCATGTGGTTTACTGTGTTTGTAGTTTAGGGGATTATCGTGAAGTGCTTTAGGGGCTCAGGTTTCAGACGGTAGGTATATCAAATTTGGCTTATATGAGTGAGTAGTTTACCATGCTGATGAGAGATGTGTCGCAATCTGGGATGCTGGTCTTCGTGCTATCCGACCTGTTGCACCGTCCGGGCTGGCTCTTGTGGTGCTGGCTTATGCTTAACATGAACATCGTTCTGTTGTGTTGGCTTGTAAAATTCAATGTTACAAGACACAGTCTACATTATCTCACACAAATGTTCTTGGTTACCCTAAGTTAAATGTGTATGCATGCATGTATGTACGCTCTACAGACGGAAAACGCCTATCGTGTTGCATGTGCGGCGTGCATGTATGCATATATGTATATCTACAATGACATCTACTTATGTGCATATTCATATATATATATATATACATGTATGGAGGGAGGGAGGGAGAGAGAGAGCGAGAGAGAGAGCGAGCGAGAGCGAGAGCGAGAGGGAGAACGAGAGAGGCGGAGAGTGAGAGCGGATATCTGTGTCTGTTCGGGTCTGCGCGTGCGGTCTCTCTCTCTGTGTGTGTGTGTGTCTGTCTGCGTGTCTCTGTGTGTGTGTGTGTGCGTGTGTTTGTGTTTGTGTTTGTGTTTGTGTCTGTTCCGATTGTGGCGTCGGGTGTCTACATGTCGTAGGGGGCCTTGGAAGCCTAACGGCAAGCACACAGGACTCTCATCTGAGTGCAAGTCTTTCTTTGTTCAACTGCTATGCTTAGCAACAGCAGCCGACAGCACTAGCAATAGTAGCAGCCGCAAGCAGTATTAGTCGTGGTGGTGGTGTGCAGCAGCAGCAGCAGCAGCAGCAGCAGCAGCAGCAGCCCCGTATCTCTGGCTGTTGCGACAGCACGGACGTACCTTGCTCCAACGAAACATCATGCCACCAACCCGGCAACCTCAGAGGTCAGTGGTCTGGCGATGTCGGAGCTCATCATCGACGGACAATCTTCTTGTGCCTTGGTCCTGAAGGTGTGTTTACGTTTTGCTGTAGGGTTTTTTAGGCTTTAGGATGTCAGGGTTCAGGTGTGCCTTTTCTGACCACTTCCCTGCTGAACCAACCAACATCACCAAAAGCATGGCGGTCTCTCGCGGAGTTCTGTGGCATTTCAGCCACTGGGAATAACCCGGCCTCTGTTGAACACTTCCTGCAAATTAGATTGGTACTTGTAATAGTGCTGGCTACCAGTATTAAGTATTAATAGTAGCAAGAGTAAGAGTAAAAGTAACATTAACAGTAAGAGCGATGGTCACAGTAACAAACAGTCTACATAGCAATAGTAATAGTAGTTCGTCATTACAAGCATCCGGCTTTCTCAAGGCAATCCTTTGAGTCTACGCAGGATGTAAGCTCCCGTCTTCTATCATGAGATCAACGTTCCACTGTAAGCTGTATAATCCCGGGCCTACACGGTACATGTAAGCCTAAACCCTATACCTTATCCGTAAAACAGGCCCTGAGCAACTTAAAGGAAGGCTACTCCATAAACCCGACTTCAGATGAAGGCAACGCAGAGATGGGAGATGCCACGGCTGTTTTGTTTTGTACAGGTTTGGTGAAGGTTGTGGGTTCTGGGTTTAGATTCGGTTGGGGGCCGAATTCAAGATAGCCTGTAGTGCTAAGGTACTGCGCAGTTTTGGCGTGCTGGTACGAGACAGAATAGTCGATAATGGCATTATCGCAGCAGCCAGAGCGAAAGCTTCGTGTGGATAAGTGCTTCAGGTCTCCACAGGACTGAAGCCCTGAAAACCTAGCCTAAGACATCTGAAACCCAGATCCATTCAAACCCCTATAGGCACCCTGAATCCGCAAGCCTAAGCACCGAAACCCCTCTAGAAGTCCCAAGCCCCAAAACCCCAAACTAAAGCCACCCCAACCACCCTTCGAAAGCACAGCGCCCCTCCACGAACCAGCAAGGAACACAAACATGAACACTAGCCTAAACCCCTAAACCTTAAACCCCAAACCCTAAACCTTAAACCCCAACACCTTAAACCTTAAACTTTAAACCTTAAACCCCAACACCGTAAACCCTAAAGCATCGAAGCCAAGGTGTGGATTTAAGGCACTTCCGACCCAGCCGCTTTGCGAACGCTGGCCCCAGGGCTCCTCAGAGGGGGAGGACGCTGGGGCGCATAATATTCTTTAGGGGTTAGGGCTTGTAGTGTTGAGGGTTTAGGGTCTAGGGTTTAGGGGTTAGGGCTTGTATCGTTCAGGGTTTAGGGTTTAGGGGTTACCTGGACCCTGAAAAACCTATTTTTTAAGGACTTGTATAAGGAAATCGTAGTAAGGAACCCTAAAAAGGTAGGTTCTTTGGGGTCCAGGTATGGCTTGTAGTGTTTGCGTTTGTAGGAACTGGAGTTTCGACAGTTCGGTTGCGGGTTTTGGGGAATTGAGGTTAGTGCTTGGAGACGGGGGTGGCGGGCGAGCAAGGAAGGACCGATGATGCGCATGATGCTTTCGGGCCCCCTCTTGCGCTTAGTGTTGCTTGTTCTGGCCGATTCTCGCCCGGTCCTATGTCGAGTACGAGTACATTCCTACGAAGAGGCCAAAAGGCAATTTGTCAAAGCGGGTCTACCGATCACACATAGAGTGTAAAGCCCACACAGTGCTTCAAGGCGGACATCCTTTTTTTGGACGTGCATAGAATCAAGGGCTGAGGCAGCTTAAGCCCACGGGCCCTGACACACACCCCTCGCCGAGCCTAAGCCGCAATCTAATTTCTTTCCGAGAGCCAAGGAAGATGGGAACCGTTCCCGTGGGCGAGCAGTGGTAGCGCTCCACGGCCTTGGAATGACAGAAGTAACCCTCCCTGCTAGCGGGTATTTAGGTTCTAAGCGTCTACTTGAGGGTAGACGGTGGGTCTGGGGACACAAGGCCGCAGGCTTAAACTTCGGTCAAGCAGTGACAAAAGTCGCGCAGACACATCCGACCACACCGGCACACGCACACACAACACATTCGCAAGTTCATGTAATAATACGGTTTTTTCACCTCACAACCCAGACTTTTTCACGTTGGTTTCTTCCGCCCCCGTAAACCAACGCAAACAGGGGCTTCACGTCTGGCCGCTTGCCATTTAAATATGTGGCTGAGCTATCTATTGTCATTGATTCGGAATGTGATTTTCCCATGCTCTCCGACGCCTGCTCGGAAAAAAGACGCTGCCTTGCTCGGAGTAGAAGAAACGGCCATGTCGACCTATGCACTTGTCCTCGTCGTCGTCGTCGTCGGTGCAGTAGCAATGGTAGCAGCACAGTGCAACCTCTGCTTCCGAAAGGCTTCAATGCCTTCGCACTCAGCCCAAAAGCGGTAGCATAAAGAGGGATTGGGACCCCTATCCCCCCTAAACCCAAAACCCTAAGCCCTAAACCCTAAACCCCCATCCCCCCTGAAGCGACCCTTCCTGGTTTAGCCGGGCTAGGCCGTGGCTCTAATTCCTGATAGGTACCCAAACCACCGCCGGGGCATGAATTCAAGGGACGAAAGGAGAGACCCTAGAAGGTCCCTTCTAGGGGTCCCTCCTACTGCCCCTTAATGAATGGAGTCTTCGACCCAGACCCAAACTCAGTAGCTTGATTTCAAGCTTCTTCTTGCTGAAGTTGCAAGTTCGGAGCTTCGGGTAGCTGATTGTGGTTGGAGCAAGCTTATAGACAAATGTCCCGGCCAGGTGCACGCATCCAGTCGCATCTGAAGTGCGTGGTGGCCCATTGCCCGGATGACCATTACTATCTGTATCATGGATTCAGGGCTTGCGGGCTCAGTACTGTACAGGGTTCACGTCAATGTACCTTCGCCGTCGTTCTGTGGTTTATGGGTTTAGACTTTTATATATATATACACATATATATATGTATATATATATTATATATATATACATATATGGATGTATGTTTATAGGGAGTTAAGGGGGTTTGGGCGGGGATCCGAAGAGTTCTACCGGAAGCGCAAGACGGGGTACATCTCAATGCCGACTCGATCCTGAGCAAGGGTCTTCTGGTAATCCCCAAGGCTCCAATAAACCCCCCTTAGGGTCCAAGTAGTCCTTATTTATGGTCTTTGGGCCCCAAAGTCCTTAAATGATGATTACTTGGACCCTTAGGGCCCTATAACAAAGGCATGACCATGACGGTTTAGAGTTGAGGGTTTTGGGGTTTAGGGCATGACCCCTTAAATAAGCAACTGGTAGTGGGCTACAACGAATCCTAGGGAGCAGCCGTCTCCCTTTTTGTGAGGTGCAGGCTGCAGAGCTGCTCCAGCTAAGGCAAGTGCGGCGTGGATGTGCCCTCCCAGTACCTGTAGGGGTTCCTTGCTCCATTAAGGGCTCCCCTTTAGGGGTAGATGGTCCAAAATAGAAGCTACTTAAGTTCTAGTGGAAGGTAGATGGACGGATCTTCATTGAGATTTGATGACTTACTTCAGGGGCTAGGGTTGTTCGAATGGTGTTTGGGGTTGAGGGCACGAGGGCTTGATCGCGAGTCCAGTAAGTTGTTGTGGTCTCTTGGTTCGTTCACAAAGGAACCAAACCAGGTCTTGAGATTCCCCTAAACTCTACATCCTAAACCCTAAACCCTATAAACCCTAAACCCCGACCTTACATCCTAGACCCTAAGCCCTGCTGGGCCTACGCTCGGATGACGCGGCAGTGGATCCTAAACAACCGGATTTCAAGTGCCGTCGAACCCCAGACATTCTAAGATGGGGGCCGGATTATAAGTCGCAATACCATTTTGGGGCTCCTTGTCATGGTTATAGTGCAATTCATACTATTTTGGGGTTCCGGGATAGAATAATAGTACAATTCATACTCGTTACAATTATAGTATAATTCATACTGTTTTGGGGTTCCTTGCTAGAATTAAAGTATAATAAACATTTTTGGGGTTCCTTATTATATCGTATTGTAATTATAGTAGAACTTACACTATTTTGGGGGAGCCTTGTTATAACCGCAGTATCATAATTAATAATGATTGTTTGGGAAGTTCTCTCTTACAATCGTAGTATAGCTTATAACTATCTTATACCTAAAATCCCTAAGCTCTAAACCCTCCCAATTCGTCTTTTCTGTCTCTCTGTCTCAGTATCTCTCTCCCTCTCTCTCTCTCTCTCTCTCTCTCTCTGTGTACAATGCCTATATAATCCCAAAGGTCAAGGTAACCTTCAGTTCAACTAGGATACTGGAGAAAATAGAAATCCCTATAGAAGCCCTAAACCCGAAACCTTAAGCCCCCAAATTCCCCTAGGATACTGGAGAAGTAATGCCCGATACGACGGTCGACGCAAGGCCGGGCGAGTCAGTTCTTGACTGGGGCCCTCTACTCAGAGCTTGGGGTTTCTAGGGTTTAGGGTTTGGGGTTTTGGGGTTTGGGGGTTTTGGGGGTTTGTGGGTTTGGGAGTTTGGGGTTTGGGGTTTAGGGATTTTCGATTCAGGATTCAGGATATGCCCTGAAGTTATCCCTACACATAAGATTCTGAACAGTGGGGGAAGCAATTCCTTTTTCCTTTAAACTATCAAGACCTTTTTGGAACTCGCGACGCAGTGTGTTGCGGGCAGTCCGGTTTAACACCGTCGGTACAGACATTGGGAGGCGGAATTGCTGGTTTGCGGCTTCAGGGATTAAGCTGCTTAGGACCTTGCGGTGGGACGGGTGATGAGGAAATGGGCAAGATGGCATAGGTTCTTGCTAGCTGCTAACAGTCGTTAGAAGAAGAGGATGATGATGATGATGGTGACGATGCTGCTGATGAAGATGGTACTCTGTGGCTACAAGATGATGGTACTTTGGATCATCATCATGATGACAGTGGTATTGCTAGGCAATGTTGTTGCAGCTACTGCCGATATCCCCCCAATCGTTGCCGCCGCACGATGGCGAGTGGAGTCTGAGGCAGTGGGTGTGGATGGGCGCTTACATGGCTGTGGGCAGCCCAGCTTGGGATTCACGGTTTAAGCTGTTGCTGTCACACCGGCAAGCTGCTGTTTGTGCGAGTGGGGGCTACGTATTTGAGTGCGATGGGCGTCAGGTCGGACGGAGGTGGAGCGTAGTGGCTCTTTCGTTATCACGTGCCTTTTGAGTATGGTTTTAAGTGCGACATATGAAGACGAGTCATCGCAAGTCTCATATTGGGCATTGCTAGAGGCTGGTGTGAGTCTGAGTTCACTCACTGGTGCCACAGCTTCCACCCGTGCCCGAACCGTTGATCTGTGCGGTGGTAATGGTGGCCGCAATTTCAAGGTCGATGCTCCGGGGCTAGGGTTCAGGTATGTTCAGGTTTTAGCGTGGTGCCACATCTTGAGCTTGTCACATCTTCGTCACCAATGCAAAGGTCGACGATGTACGGCATCAATGGCTATGGCATTGAGGCCGGTCAATTTCTCATTTGAGGCTCAGACCCTAAACGCCTAAGTCCGAAACTTAAACCCTCAACCCCGAAACCCTGTACTCTCTAAATACTCGACCCAAAACCCTTATCCCAGACCCAATCCCCCTGAACCCCAAACCCTAAACCCTAGTGTCTTCTGCAGGCCACCTCGCAGAACTTTGCTTGGGCGAGTCGCTTCTCTCGAGGACGCCCCATCGGATGGATTTCGTGCATTTGTTGGTGACTGATGTTTCCGGTAGTAGAGCATCATATATCATAGTATAGTATGGTATAGTATAGATACCCATCACTCAACAATTCACACGCAATCGTCTTCTCCCTGCACGACACATTTGATGTACCTCGTCTCCCTTTGTATCTATAGGATGCACCGCCTTTTTTCAACTCGCGGGCGAGAAATCCAGTGGATGTGTTGTGCTGGCTGCCATGGACGCCTGCAAAGCATGAAGCGGGTCGGTTCTCCTGCCAATGCCGGACTCATGCACGCGACTGAGAGGCAGCGAGGCTGTAGTGAGCTATGGCAGGAAGGGCAGTGGCTAAACACAAGCCCCCTACATCCTTTTGCCCGAAACCCTACCATCCGCCCGAAACCCTACACATCTGAAGTGCAGGTAACTACTGCCTCTACGGTGGCACTGACCTAGGCGCGGCAGAAGAAGTTGGGCGAGTGCCTTGTCGGCTGCTGTAGGGGTTAAGGGTTGCATGGTTTATAGGGCTTATAAGGCTTATAGAGTTTAGGGTTTAGGGTTGAGAGATAAGAGTTAAGGATTACAGGCTTACTTAGGGGTCTAGGGTGCAGAAGCCAGGACGCTGGACCTGCGGGCTCCTGTGCAGCAGTATCGTATACAGATATTCATACAGATCTTAAGCCGGTTCCTATGTTCGTCGCAAGTACGATATAAGGCAAAAAAACACGCTGTGATACAAGGCTGTACTTTAATTCACAGTCAGTTATTAACTTCGCCCTGGTACAGTCATTAATCCGTTGCAACAGGAAACTTCCTAGGAACAAGGGAAGGTTGTGTTCTGCGAGGCTGTCCCCTAAACCCTGAGCCCGATCAAACCCCGAACCGGCGTCCTGTCAAATCTGTCTTCGATGTGGATCGCAGGTTCGCGTCTTCGACGATGGCCCAACGTAGGGTGACAGGTTGCACAACAGTATGTACTTAACTGAATTCATATTCCTGAATGGGAACCCATTTGTTTCGACTTAAGCATTGTGCCAATGACCTCACCCGGAAAAGCAGGTCAAGTGGCATGCTTGATTGGATGCACCAGTAGGCAGTAGTCCTGTCGTTGATCCCAATGTGCGTGCAATCACGGTATCGGTCATTGTGACTCGATGTATAGAGTCTATAGATTTTTGCCCAGTTTCCTTCAGCAGCTAATGGTCGGGCACCATGCCACGCAAGCGTGGCACCGCCACATGTTCCTGCGGGTGCGGGCGCTGTCACTTTGCGTTTCTGGCGGTGCTCCTGCTGGTCGTGCTTTCCGTCAGCACGCTGCGCTTCATGGTACTGGTAGATACTGGGGATCGACACGTCCGAGTCCGCAGCTTGTCCGCAGGACGTCGCCGCCGCCCTGCTAAAACGGCCCAGGACATCCCTGCATGGCCTTTGCACGGCGAGCCCAGTGTTCCTTCGTATCCCCTCGGCAAAAGTGCCGGTCATGGTGCTCCCGTGTCTGATTCCGTCTCAGATGAAACGGCTGCACCAACCTCCCGCTCCACAACTGCCTGCAGCAAGGAGCTTCAAAGCACCGAATTGGCACCTGGCTTGCGCAGCACAACATGCTCCGCCCGGGCGAGAGAACATGTCGCTCCCCTCTTCGTGGCGGTGACCTCGCCCATTGGCAACTTCAAGCTCCGAGCAGCTCTGAGGAGTGGGCATTGGTTGATGAAAGGCTTTCCAGCATCATCCCGTGCCTCTTACATGTTCTTCGTGGGAAGCAGCCCTGATCAGAAGGTGCAGGAAAGGCTCGAACAGGAGATGCGCAGACATGCCGACATCGTGCAGTTCGATTTTGCAGATCGTTTCACAAACTTGGCAGTGAAGTCCGTCGGTGCTGCCGCGTGGGTGCACGCACACTTGAATGTTGACAAAGTGCAGTATGTGCTTAAGGTTGAGGATTACATGACGAACAGCTTTGCCAAGATTGATGAGGCCGTCAAAGGGTTGCAGGTTCACGGGAACCAAAAACCCTATTACGGTGGAGGCATGATTTTCGGTGGCACGCCAGTGGTGCGAGATGGACGGTGGGGCTGTCCCAGGAGGCATTGTCCATACGAGACCTACCCGGTCGAGTATGCTGGGGGGCAGTACTTGCTCAGCCGATCTGCAGTGAAGATTTTGGTACAAAAGGCATTACCGGCACTGGATCTCAGCGACCCCTACCCCGTTGAAGATCATTATGTCGCGAGCTTTTTGGCAGAATCCGGCGTTCACGTGGTAAACGAGCCTAAGTTGATGTGGGCAGCTGGAAAGCCCTATGGTGCTCCATCCATTGTTGCTGACGACTTTCTGTTATGTTTGGACACAGAAGATCGGCCTGAGACGGCCCACGGCGAGGCTGGTGCCTGGGAAGGAAGCACTTTGGTCATGCTGCCCGAGGAGCGCGCCAAGAAGGCCTGGTATGGCGATCCCTCGCATCCCTGGTCCTCTGACCATGGTAAGGATGTCACCGAGTCAGTCCTAGAGAGTCTACGTGAGAAACAGCAGGTGAGGGCGTGGGATGCTAGCTGGGGGGATCCTGCCCCCGGCGTGCGCAAGGTTCTCTTGCTTCGCTTGGATCAGACCAAGTAGCAACTAGCTCTGGCTTTTACATGCAACAACTTGAGCTTTAGCTTTTGCTTTCTGGCTGTGGTCAGACAGAGAGGTGTCAGATCAGACACCTACTTGGAAGCATGCAGCAGCTTGGCGAGCAGAAGCATCTGCTCTGCCCGAGAGCAAAACCTTGACGGTGTGGCTATGGAGTTGCGTAGATCTGAGATTCTGTGCCGGACGACGTGGTGCGCAGCTCTTGAGCTGTTCGGGAAGCCGCTGGAAACCTCGGGGATGAGCGCCATACAACTAGAGATCCGTCAGGTCTGTTCACTCTTCGTTCGATGGAGTCGCTGGCACAGCGACCGAAAGCAACGAGGTTAAGGGTTCTGGCTCTAGGACTTCTTGCAATTTCGAGATCCTGACCCAGCGACTCACGTAACATTCAATCCTGTATTGAATCAGCTTGAAGCTCTGGGCCCTCCCGACCACTCCCAATCTGGACACATACACACGAGGTTTACATGTGCTTGTATCTGAACTACATGAACTATTGTTGCACCTGTGGATGTCCGCGTTTGCATGCTTACTCGTTTACTTGTTGGCGTGGTTATGCATGTACAATGAGAACATGTATAGCTTCATGCACCTATCATCCATCCATCCATCTTTCCACCCATCCAGCCAGCCAGCCATCCATGCATCTCTGCATGCGGCATTGATGCATGCAGCATGCTTGCATGCATGCATACCTGCTATGTATGTGTGGGAGTGTGTATCTACCTACCTACCTACCTACATACCTAGCTACCTACCTACCTACCTACCTACCTACCTACCTACCTACCTACCTACGTACATACATACATACATACATACATACACTGCTGTTACGTGTCTCTCTCCTCTCTCTCTCTCTATATATATANNCTACCTCTACCTACCTCTACCTACCTACCTACCTACCTACCTACCAACCAACCAACCTGCCTACCTACCTACCTACCTACCTACCTACCTACCTACCTACCTACCTACCTGGTCACCTCGTATGTAAAAGGCCGCGTGGGTTTTCGCAAGCAGCAGATTCGAATGTGCTTTTAACCCACGCC